GGCAAGGATCCTGGTGGTGAATTCATATCCTTGTTAAACTAATGAAAAATAAGGGAAAAGTCCCTTTTCTTCTTGAAAGAATAAATTCTACCACACATTTTCAGACAACTTTTTATTTTAGAACTCTAACAATGAGGGATTACATTGAAACTACAGTTTGAAACAACTAAACATCGCATGGCGGTAAGCGTTCCAGTAAAGGATTAACAAATGCTGCAATGAAATGTTTCCATCATCCTATCAGTATGCTCCAAGGAAAATCTCAAGAACAGCATCCCACGCTGCATTTCACAGACTGCAAAACCCAACACATCTATCACATAGTACCAGAGTAAAATTGTTTTAGAGCAGGTATAAAAAGCACAATGGCAGCTTGGAAATTAAAAGATGGTTAAAGTTGAACAAGAAGATGCTGCAGTAGACAGACTTGTTCCTCAAAATGCATGCAAGCACAAGGTCATGTTCTGCACCTGTGTCTAGACTGGTGAATAAAATAGTGCCAAGGACCAACCCCTATTTCTAGAGTCAGATGGCACCAACTTCATTGCTATTCTCAAGGGCCCAAACCAAAGTAAGATTGCAGGTAAGAAGCTGTAGGGATGCTCAGGAATCGGTGTTCTTGCTCGTTCTCCCACCCTCCCATCAACTAGTGTAGACAGTCTCTTCAGACAACCTGTCCTTTTTAATTCATTAAGCAGCTTGCAGGATGGTGACTTATGCCCTCCTAAATACCATCTGGAGTAAAAGCAGATCAGTGGTCTTTTGGTTATTACAGAACAGAACCCTCATTTAAACAATGCATTCCCAGGAATTTCTGAACAAATCAGACACCAAACTCTACATAAGCAATCCCAACCACCTAAATATATACAAATTCTTACCCAAGTGGCACACCACATATTAAATGTTAACAATCAAATAACTGTCTGCTACCTTCTCTTGACTGAGTTAGCAGAGTGGCCATAGTAAGCATGGTTTTCCTTTTTGAGTTTCACTAGAGTGCTTAATCTATTGCAAGTTGTTTAAACTAACCTGGTTAATCCTGCACTCAAGCAAAAATGTAACACCCAGACAGACCACACTCACAGCTGGTGTAAAAGGAGGCAGGGAACAGTTTCTGGACAGTTACAGCTTAATCAGCTTACAGTTATTCCCATAAGACTACTGCCTCTGTTTTCCCTAGGACTTCTACTGAAGTTGCAGCAGAGTTACACAGCTCAGGTTTTTGTAATTCATAACTCAGGAAGGTATTACTAAATTCAGCTAACAAACTGACTTACTACTCTGCTATAAAAGAATAGATCCCCAGTTACTACAAATAAGTTTACTCAGGCTTCTATTCACTGATCCACTGCCATGTGGTGTCTTACCAGAGGTTGATAAGGAATCCAAAATTCCATAACACAAAAACCACAAATCACTTTTAAACACAGTGTTACTTTTGAAGACATTTTAAGAGAAGCTCAAACTTTCAACAACTTTAAAATCTCAATTCAATTAAAGTTTGTATGGCTTACCCCTTCTGCTTCAATGGCAATTCAAGTTTAAATATTGTAGCATCATTCACAACTGCTTTGTATGCCTGAAAAGTAATTACAGATTATTAGTGCTTCACCCAAGTTCTCTCTTTAGTACATGAATCACAAAGGTTTTATACCTTTTTAGATGACCATAACATTAATCTTTTTTTTTAATTGGCCCAAAGTTTGCAGATTTGATTTTCAATGTGAGAGTTCAAATTCTGTGACTTAATTTCCCATTAACTGCTGTTTTGCATTTTCCTCTTTTCCATTAACATACCAATTCCTTTTAAGCAACAACTTAGGAAGAGATTGCACAGAGCAAGTTGCATATCTGAAGTCATGAAACTACACCCAAACGTAGTAAATTCTAAACACATATATATTGCTGAATCAGACATTAAGGTGCTCAACACAAAGATTATCTGCTGTGCTCTACAACATTACAAAGCTGAACACAAATGCAACTTTATGCATGACTGCAATACAAATTAAAAGCTAATCAGTTGGAGGCAAGTTTCTTCAGTATTTTCAGCCACATGCTTCCTTGAGTTAAGAGCAGTTTCTAGATTTAACAGTGAATGGGCACTTGGATTTCAGACATCCTAGTATGAATGGCAACAATTCTTAAACTGAAAACAAATCATCAGCAGAAACACGTACCTTATCTCTTGCAGTCAGAAACCTTGGATCGTCTTGAAAAGCTTCTTTAACCAACTTACTAAATCGGTTAAATAATGTGAGCAATTGCTCTACATATTTCTCAGAATCCTAAAGAGGCAGAAATCAAATAAAAAAACCAGGCTCCATACAATTCAGGGTGAGCTTTCATGTAATGCCCTAACCTGTAACAATACAGTATCCTCAGCCTGCGTACTACAAATCAGCATTTTATCTTGGTTCTTTGTACTGAAGAGCTCTACAGCATCTAAATATCAACACAGACTTTCAGGATAGTATTTCAAAATACAGGCATATATATAAAGAGATAAAAAATATGTAACTTTCAAATATCTTGTAATGACTTCTAAAACAAAACATGTTTTCAAGGACCAATAAAAGGCACATCCTAATTGCTGCGGATACTCAGGCCTCCTAGACCCAGACAAAAAGATGACAAAAAGATGAAAAAGAACAGTGGGGTAAAAGATCTTTACTATCCACATTGAACAACCCCCTGAAGATTGAAATCAAATTGCAAATTTCGCCCGGAAGTTAGAATGCTTTTTAATTAAGATGCTGACATGCTCCTACCATGTAAGTATCCTATGCACTTCATCTATAGCCTTTTCTATACTAGAAATTTCATTCATGTTTTAAAGCTACAAATGAAAATGAAAGGAATAAAAAATGATTCTTAAGGCATCTAAAACTTTCAGTGGATCAAAATTTGAAGTTTAAACATAAAATCTTAAAAAATTATTTCAATTCACATGTATGTCCCCAAAATAGAGAATATTTAACTTGTGAAATGTTGTTTTTTCATTGTTATTCTGTTAAAAACCAATACACTTACAGTAGTAATAGTTTCAGCAGCTGCTACCATATCTGCAAGTCCAGCACTAACAATATGTTCTTCCAAATCTTTTAGCATAGGCTCTATGCCATTCGGAACTTTATCCATCAGTGAAAACATTAAATGCAACTCTGAAAGATACAAATACTAATAAAGCCACCAGTCAAAGACCTGTATAAAAACCAAACATACTACATTTCTGCAAGGATCTCTCAAGCAGAACACTGAATATGTACATAACAGATAATCCAATTCATCCCTTAAAAGGAAAGATGTTTTGAATAGTGTTATAATTCTGGTCCCACGAGGAGATTCTTCTGAAGGCAGAAAGAGGTATTTATTACAACATAGTACTTGCTTATGCATGTATCATCATAAGCTTGAATAAAACCCACTAGAGTCAATGGCAATTTGGACTTAGTCCAGGTTCTCAGTATAACTACCTTAAAACCCCTGGCAAAATGAGAGTCTCTCGGAAGCCTATAGGAGTGTATGAACAAAATTGTACGGATTCAAGTTATTTTTTGGTTGTTTTTTTTTAAATTAAAGGCAAACAGAGCTGTCTTTCATACCTTCCAATGCCATCTACAATGTTTTGTTTTAATTAAAAGCATGCCAAATTATAAAGTAACCAAAACTACGGTAAACAGCGTTTTTTCCTTTCTGTTTTCTCAAAGTTTATTTAGTTTTTCTGAAAGTTACCAGTTCAAAAACTTTAAAAACTGATCTGGTTTATTTGTCTGCTTTTTGCTAAAAAAAAACCCCCTTTGAAAGTACTGAAACACCAACAATCTTCTCGACAAAGCTTTCTACAACGGAACACCTGGATTTAAGGCCACCAGATCGTTTTGGAGAGACCACAGAGATTTGAACTAAACACAGCAAAGGACTCAAGCAATGAAGTAGAACAAACCCATCATGGACTCAAATTCCTTTTTTGATAGAAAAAAAGAAACTGATGGATTTGCTTAGCTTCTCAATGCTGTATCTACTGTGAAATGGCCCAAAGGCCAGAGGCCTGTCTGTTTTATCCTCTGCCATACTTTTGTCAGCAATCACACTGAAGATGAAACAGATGTTATCAACTTCTGGATCTCAACAACTGTTGCAGAAACCAAACAGAAAAGCAATGCATACAGAATTAAAAAAAAAAAAAAATCTATATATTGCACATTTATCTGAATGTATATAACATAACAATACAAATTACAGAATGGAAACTGCAAAAAACCCTCAATAAGAACTTACAATTCTACTAAAGACCACACAGAATGGCCTAGAAGATGTGACCCACTACCCCCTCAGCAAGTTTTCTGCTGTCGACACGCTGGAGGGAAGGGATTGTGATCCACGGGGACCTTGACATGCTTGATAGGTACGCCAATGAAAACCTCATGAAGTTTAACAGGGCCAAGTGCAAGGTCCAGAACCTGGGCCAGGGCAATCCCAGGCACAGCTACAGGCTGGCTGGAGAATGGATTCAGAGCAGCCCTGTGGAGAAGGACCTAGGGGTGCAAGCTGATGAGAAGCTGTACATGACCCAGCAGTGTGCACCTGCAGCCTAGAAATCAACCATATCCTGGGCTGCATCAAAAGAAGTGTGACCAGCAGGTTGAGGGAGATGATTCTCCCCCTCTACTCTACCTGCAGTCCTGCATTCAGCTCTACAGCCCTCAGTATAAGAAGGATGTGGACCCGCTGGAGCAAGTCCAGAGGAGATCATGATCAGAGGGCTGGAGCACCTCCCCTATGAAGGCAGCCCCTTAAGTTGGGCTTGTTCAGCCTGCAGAAGAGCATGCTCCAGGGAAGCAAGTCCAGAGGAGATCATGATCAGAGGGCTGGAGCACCTCCCCTATGAAGGCAGCCCCTTAAGTTGGGCTTGTTCAGCCTGCAGAAGAGAATGCTCCAGGGAGACCTTAGAGCAGCTTCCAGTGCCTAAAGGGGGCCTACAAGAAATCTAGAGAGAGAGTTTTTTTAAACGATCATCTAGTGACAGGACAAGGCAGAATGGCTTTAAGCTGACAGACAGGAGATCCAGGTATCAGGAAGAATTTCTTCACTGTGAGGGTGGTGAGGTGCTGGCACAGGGTGCCCAGAGAAGCTGTGGCTGCCCCATCCCTGGCAGTGTTCCAAGTCCAGGTTGGATGGGCTTTTGAGCCCTGCCCATGGCAGGGGGTTGGAACCGGAGGAGCTTTAAAGTCCCTTCCAACTGTTGTGGGTTAAGCCCCGCCAGTAA